CATAACTGCAAGTAATTCTAACTAAGATTTAAAAACAATGCATTGTTGGTAAGAATTACCTTTGGCCTTAATTATGATATAAGCAGCAAAAATTTCAGAGTGAATATGTTCTTTAAAATCTTCAATATTCATTCTAAGACATTCACATTCAAAAGAGCTTGTCTACCTTGAGATTCCTCTGTAGTTTACAAAGAATAAAATTTTAATAATTTTTTTCTCTGTCTTCAATATTAATGGGAGTAGGTTTATGTTAATGATACAAGGTCTCCCTCAGCAGTCTTTTTCATATGCACCCTTCTTCAAAGTAAGGCAAACTGCGAGTCCAACAAAGTAAAAACTGATAACTGGGGGAGCATTTTCAACATTCTGTTTTCAATATTGAGAAAACAGGTAGCTCTTTCTTTAATAAACACACACCTTTGTAAATCAGATGGTCATCAATTCTCTGAGTTATGTAACATTGATAGTAGTTGTAGTCTGACCGATCAATAAACATGATTTTGAACATTAAATCACTTTGTAATTTGGGGATGGAAGTCAGAAACTTACAAAAAATTGACAGTTCAGTTCCAATTACTTACTTACCTGAACAATCATTCTCTATATTAGTATATATTATATGTACAATACATATGACACTAATGATGTAGAGAATAATTTTAATTTCCCTCTATCTCATTAATTAATTTATTAACAGTGTGTTTGTTTTACATTTAATCACTTGGTAGATTTTGTAATATGTTCAGGATGTTTTATCAACTAAGCCCTTATGCAATTATAAAAATAATTCTATGTAAATCAAAAGTTTAGGCCTTAAGAGTGTTATGGCTAAAGGTGATAAAAACATTTCAATCAATATACTATGCTTCTTACAGCAAAGTTATGACTGAATGAACAATAAAGTGCTTCCAAGGATAAAGCATTTATATTACAAAAATTATGTACAGTAGAAAGGTAATTTCCAGTGTGAGAAAAAATAAATAATAAAAATTTCAACCACTACCTTCATCTGCTTATACATTTTAAATGAGTGACAATGTGTGTCCAATTTCCTTGGTGTTGGTTTTCAGTAAGAGCACACTGGAAAAGGAACTAATGGAGCACATATGACATGTTTTACGTCATCCTTGTCAACCACTGAAGTGGACAGTGAAAAACTACACACAGCAAAGACTTTTGGATGAATTAGAGTAGGGAGTGATTTCAGGAGTGTGGAATATGAAGGGTCTGATGCCTGTAAGCTTCCCACATGAAGATGGAGCTGGCCTTTAAGCTATGCTGCTTTGGAGAGAAGTTTGAACTGGAAAAGTGAGCTCTGTATTTATCAAGACTATGGCTTTAAAACTGTAGGGAAGAATAACATCCTCAGAGGCTGGGTAGACAGCTTGGTGGTCTAAGCACCTGCCTGGCAAGCGTAAGGACCCGCGCTCGATCACCAGTACCACATGCCACGCCTGCCACCAAAACCAGATGTGGTGGCGCACAACTGTAATCCCAGTCCTGGGGAGGCTGAGACAGGAGGATCACTGAGAGTCTAGGCTGCATAGTGAGACCCTGTACCAAATAAATAAGTAAATAAATAAGATTTTTTTAAATTAAAAAAGAATCGTATCATCAAAGAAATCCACACAAGCTAAGATAACAATTAAGAACCATGGCCTTCAGCAATAAAAGAAGGGCTCCAAGAGAAGAAAAGTTTGAGAAGCAACACATGTACTAAATTAAAATTTAAAAAATTAAAAGAATATTAACATTTGAAGAAAAAATAATGTGAATGTTATTATCATCAGTGACATGTCATCCAAGAAGAAGCATTTTCTTTTTACCCTACAATATACCAGAAATTGTTATTGTCCATTGTGTCAAGTCTCTCCAGAGAAATGGAATAAACAAGATGCCTCTATAAATGAAGAGTCTTCTATTCGAAATAAAAGGAAGGGAGAGAATGAGGCATCTTGGAAGACAGGGGAACTCAACATAGGCATGGACCAGCACGATGAGGGCTGCTGCCTGACTTCGTGCGAATACAGTGGTTGGGCTGAAGGCCTGAAAGGGCCAGGTTTAAGAAAAAAAGAAAAAGAAAAGAAAAGAGAAAAAAAAAAGAACAGCAGAAAGGCCTCTGAGAAATGGGTAATAGTGTCAGTGGGCAGGGTGTGAGGACTCCCCAAGAGGGCAGGTAGAGATCTTCACTTGCCCTGGGTAGTTTCCTGACACTTGTTGCAGAAAAGCATTTTGGGTACTTCAGCGAGAGGCACAGGCAGAGTTAGAAAGTGAGAGAAAGTAACAAGAGACAGCTTCAGGAACTGAGAGGAGCACAGTTCTAATGGACACGTGAGGGCGTCAGAGTCGCTCTGCAACACAGGAGGGCACAGCTCTTGAGGTGCTGGGGGAGACTAGGATACAGTGGAGCACTGTCTCCGGTGGACCACTGTCTCTGTTCTCATCTTGCTAAGTGGCTCCAGAAGTCCATATGCCTACTCTGGCCTCCCTGAGGTCACTGATTGCATGTAGGGCAGTCTGTGATGCCGGGGCTCCGCTGGACCCATGGTGGCTGCGGGTCTGCACAGAACTAGGAAACTCTGCACACTCACGGACATTTCTATGCTCCTAAACAACTCTTGGTGTTCTGTGTCTCAAAAGGGGATGAGATATGTTGTTAACTGAGAGCCCATCAGCCTTGTGTTGCTGACTTCTAGAAAGATTGCTCCAGCGATGAAGGTGACTCTGCAGGGCTGGGCAAGGATCTCAAGCGAAGTTTTAAGGTAATACAGGAGAGAGATACAAAATAAAAGTCAACCTTTGCACT